CCCCCGTTGCCTGGGAGAGGATAGGTTAAGGGGAGGCTGCTCGGTGTGTCCGTGTTGTGGGGGATGTGGGGCAGGGTCTGGCCTTCGTCACACCGGGGAAGGTGGTGATGGTGCGGAGGAGATGCTGTTTGTGTTGAGCCACCCCTTGGAGGAGGCCCGCGGAGGCAGGTCCGAGGCCAGCTCACCCATCCGTGTTGTCATGGTGAATTTTCACCCAGGCACAGGGAAACCGCGGCGTTTCCCCAAAATCTCGCGGGCTCTGTGCAGATGTTGGGCTTCTCCCGGCAGTGGGATGGGACGGGTGAGCGTTGGGGTGTGCCAGCGCACTGCCGGGGTGCCGGGGAACAGCATGCGCCCGGCTGGAACGCCAAGAAAATGCCGCCCTGACTGAGCTGCTGTGGCTGTGCTGCCTCTGCCCGGGCTGGGCAGGAGCTGGCTGCTGCCTTTGGCTGTGACCCTTATTGGATTAGCCTGGGGCAGACCTGGCAAGACGTGGCAAAGTGGAAACATTATTTTCCAGGGGAAAACAATCCCCGGTGGGGATGCGTTTCTGGCACTGTCACCCTCCTGGGGCAGCGTGGCAGCCCACAGGACCCCTGCCCTGACGGAGTGTGAGCATCCATCTCCTGGGCCCCAGCTCTTGGTACGTTGTGGGGCCGGATCCAGCTCAGAGCCGCCGGGCTGCGTGCGGGAGCCAGGCTTACAAGGCCGCTCCAGGTCAGGGTGTCCTTACCCCCTCCCCGCAAAATGCCTCCCCTGGGCCAGGCTGCCTCCCTCCCCTCGCTCCCCACGCCTGGGGTGGAGCAGGAGGATTTCCACTGCTGCTAAAAAACAGGAGCAAAAATAGCGCTGGGATTTGGCACGGGCACAGGAACAGGCTGCAGGGGCAATGCAGCTGTGGGGGAAGGAGGGAGGTGCTCGCTTTGAGGTGGCTGGGTGGCAGGGAGAGGCAGGGGCCAGCCCCTCCGTGTCCCCTCGCCCAGCAACATCCCTCTTGCTTGGTGGTGCTTGGTTCCCACCCTGCAGTGGGTGCTGGGGAGGTCCCTCTGCCTGGTCTCCCTGGGTGAGAGCCCCGTACATACTGCACGGCCATGGGTGGCACAGCTGGAGCCATGGGGACATGGCCCTGTCCTCGCTCCTGTGGGCAGTGCGGTGACCCTCTCCCCGGGTGCCTGTTGGGGTAGTGTCTGTAGGTTTCGTCCCCAGCTCGCATCTGGGACTGGGACATAGATCTGCTCCGACTGGGAGCAATGGCTGCGTGAGAGCCATGTCGTTCCCGTGTCCCCACAGGCCAGTCCCTTCCCCCTCTGTCCCATTGGTGCCACCTTCTTCCCTGCACCACTGCAGGTGCCACCTCCCAGGGTCCCCAGCCGCCTCATTAAAGCTGTGTTCCTCGTTACCTTGCTGCCGAGCCGTCCCAGCCTGGGTTGCCAGGTCTCCCACAGTGCAGGTTCTATTCCGGGTGCCCCTGTTGTCCGCCTCGCAGTTGGGCCCAGAGCTGCAGACCTTGGCCGTGGTGGAGGGGAGGTGGTGGAGCCTGACGGACCTCTGAATCGGTGTGCCTGGTGGGGACCGTCAGCTTTGTCCCCTCTCTGCTGCCTTGGGTCCCCCTTAGACCTCACCTGATGGGGAAGGGCACTTGGGCAAGAGATTTGGGTTCTTTGGGGCATCCCCAGCCCGGTTGGGTGGGCTCAGGGGAGCTGCGTGGGGTGGGTGTCCCGGGGAAGTGGCCATCATGGGGGAACACCAGTGCATGTACCTCTTGCTGCCTTGCTTCTGGCTGGTGCTGGTGGCATCCCGGCTGGGACCTGTCAAAGGCAGGAGGGACGAGGGACATCCCACCGCGAGGAGGCAGGACAGGTTAGAGCCGGGGATCCGCTTTCCCTGGAAGCTGAGGGCCAAGGGGTGATACAGGCTCCCCCGTCTGTGCCCACCCAGCTCGTTCATTCCCAGTCAGCTCCTGGGTTGAATGGGGGCTGTGGTGACCTGGTGAGGGCGGCATCCCAGCCTCTGAGGGATGGTTATTAGCTACTAATTGCTAACGAAGCAAGGTCTGAGAGGGGTTGTGGTGTTCTGGCAGAGCTGGGATGTATCTGGCCCGTGTCAGGGCTCTTCTCCATCCCACTCCGGGTGCAGGATGGGACCAGCCATCCCTCCGCACCGGCAGGGCTCTCCGCCTGAGCGGGCTTCACAGCGCTCTTTGACTTAATGATTAATCTACTTTCAATGTGAAGCTAAATGCAATATTAATGTGCTGAGTGGTGTTGGTGGGAGTCAGGGGAATCCTCGGCCAGGGTGGCAGGGCCATGGGGGCACGAAGTGGCGGTGGTGCGGGGTTTGGTCTGGGATGGCTGCTCCAGCCCCCAGGCACCCTGTTTGGGCCAGAGTGTTGGCCAGGGTCTTGGCCGAGGTGCCCAGGGAGCCCGTGGGGACAGCTGGGTGGGGAGCAGAGCGAGGGGCTGGCTGGCACGGGGTCAGGTTGGGCGAGCCGTGCTTGCTGCCTCTTCGGGAGCTGCTGAGGGGGTCTTGGCTACGGGCCCTGGGGGGG